AGATAGATGGATAGATAGATACCGCTAGATAGATGGATAGATAGATAACGTTAGATAGATGGATAGATAGATACTGGTAGATAGATGGATAGATAGATACCGCTAGATAGATGGATAGATAGATACCACTAGATAGATGGATAGATAAATACCGCTAGATAGATAGATAGATAGATAGATAGATATACAGATAGATACCGCTAGATAGATACCGCTAGATAGATACCGCTAGATAGATACCGCTAGATAGATAGATAGATAGATAGATACCGCTAGATAGATAGATAGATACCGCTAGATAGATAGATAGATACCGCTAGATAGATAGATAGATAGATAGATAGATAGATAGATAGATACCGCTAGATAGATAGATAGATAGATAGATAGATAGGTACCGCTAGATAGATAGATAGATAGATAGATACCGCTAGATAGATAGTTAGATAGATACCGCTAGATAGATAGATAGATAGATAGATAGATAGATAGATAGATAGATAGATAGATGGATACCGCTAGATAGATAGGGTAGGGAGTCTGTGGCTGAGTGGTTAGAGCAGTTGTCCTCTAATGCAAAAGTTGGGGGTTCGTATCTACCAGCAGTCACATGCCGAAGTGTCCCTGGGCAAGACACTGATCCCTTAGTTGCCTCCGATGTGTGTCCCATCGGTGTATGAATGTGCTAAAGCTCTGATTAGTTTCTTTAGAATGATTTGTTCAGTTGGCTTTGTAAAGATCTAGTAGAGTGCTGTATGAATGGATGAGGGCACAGATTGTGTTGTAAAGCGCTTTGAGTATCTTGATAAGGTAGAGAGGCGCTATATAAGTGCAGTCCATTTACCATTTAGATAATGGTAGGTAGATATCGGTAGATAGATAGATACTTTATTAATCCCAGGGGGAAATTTGAAGCATCCAGTAGCATGTTCTAATTATACAGAAAAAAAATACACATGAAATCAAAAAAGAATACACAAATTTGAAAAAAGGCAAATATGCACATGCACAAGGTAGTATTATGCATTGATGCTAAACTTGAAAACGCTTTTTTTTTTGTTTTTTTTTGTAATAAAACTCTTAATAAGGTGACCAAAGATGTATTGATGCATCCTCACTTTATTCTTGTTTTACGGCTTTGGCTTTTTGTATTAATTTTTTTTTTGTTGTGCTACTATTATTATTGTTATCGACTATAATTTTTCTTGGGATAATTTTACAATACACAAATCCAAAATAGTAGATTACAAGTAAAATTCATTCTACTAAAGTAACTGTGCACATACCATCAAATTGCTTTTTGAGTATTTAGGTCAAAGTATTATTTTTTAGTTCATTTTTAAAGTACTTTTTAAAATGTCCTGATGCATGCTCAATAATCCAGGTAGATAAATGTAATAAGGTTGAGTCAGGTCATCCGGACGGATTCTTCTTTGTTGAAACATTTCGTCTTTTATCCAAAAGACTTCTTCAGTCTGAAGTCTGGGCCCGACTCAACCTTATTAGTTATATATATTTTTAAATATTCAGTCCTGTGTGAGAGGTATACCGGAACAGATCACTGTTTAGTGCTGGAACTGATCCCTTATCTGTAATCTAACTGTATTTTGTATAATGTGTCAATCCAAAAAGCTCAAAAGCCACTCGTCTTGAAGAGAACATTGGGTTTAAAGCATTTGTGGCATTATCTAATGTGTACATCTTTATTTCAGAAGTAAAATCTAACTAAAGCTGACAGATACGTACATTTGTATATAAAATAGAAATGTATTGTTTGAATAAATCTAGTTGGATAACTTTAATTACTATAAAAAAATCTAACACTGAATCACAGCGGTGCCCAATAATTAGGGACTCTAAACGCATAACTTGCCTTGAAGTTGCAGAGACGGTTCATATAATTGCAGCAACACTGATTGTTTGAACAGAAAATGTGTCTCAGCGGATCAGTAAACACACAGTGTGTATGTACACAAATAATCCTCTGTTGAATTACCGTATGTTCCCGAAAGAAAAGACTCTTCTGGGTTTGCTTCCTGTAACCAGGCTGTAATTTGTTAACTGTTGCTCCGTTGAGTAAGACTGGACAGAAAACTTGCTGTATGTAGGTCATGAATAGTAAACGAACCAGACTGGTGGTTCTACCACCAAGTTGACCTTTACTTCGTAAATTCAGCTTGGTTCCCCTTTTTTTAGTATCTGGTTCCCTAATCGTCTATAAAAAATTAAAAAATAAATTACAATGAATCATGTCAGCAAAAAGAACCACAGTTTGTTTTGGAAGATTTCGATACTGTATGAAAGTGTTTAAATATTTTAAAATCCTATTATATGTTTTCATTTGTGCAAAATTATTAGTATTTAGACAGCCATACAGTTCATTGATGTACTCGGTGCTTGTGCTACGAGGTAACATTCAAAACATAATGCATAAAAATTTGACTGTTTGCAAAAAGAAAAGGCAAATTAAGCTGCTTAGTAAAAACAGAATTTGGAGAAGTTATATAATTGAATATTCATTCTTTCAACCTTTATTTATACAGTTTAATCCCGTTGAGCCTCGGGGACTCATTTACAAGAGAGACCTGATTTCTTTAACAAAGTGATGACAACAGTGGATAACGATGACAACAACAGACAAGAATAAAAGAGGCATACAGATGATTATTTTTTTCTTCTTTTTACAAATTAAAATAAAATGGCAACCAAAAGGACAGTCAAAAGGAAAAAGTAGCCAAAAAAAAAAAAAAAGCTAGATTATAAGGTAGAAAACTAAAAACAAGAACATGTCTTCATTGGGTTTTGCCAGGAACTTAACAGATGTTTGAAGCCATTTAGAGAAGTCAAGGTCGAGAGCTTCAGATCTTTTTTGCAAGATGTTCCAGGGAACAGGAGTGGAGTAGGAGAAGGCCCTTTTGCCTAGTTCAGTCCTCACTGAGGGAACACTGCAGGTAATAATGTCCTGAGAGCGCACGCTGTAGCTGCACTCACGCAGACATGTAGGAGGAGATGTATGAAGGCAGCAGACCAAGAAGTAACTTAAAGATGAAAATGTACCAGTGAGAGAGTCTGTGTGAAGTTAATGATGTCCAGTTAACCAGTGAATACAGGGTGCAGTGGTGGGTACGGTAGTTTCAGCCAGTTATGAAACTTAGTGCATTGTGATAGACAGCATCCAACATCTGCAGGGTGTTTGTAGGAACGTTCATGTAGATGTCACCGTAGTCAATTGAGGGAAGGAAAGTCCAATCGAGAATCTGTGGAAAGAGCTGAAGACTGCTGTTCACAAACGCTCTCCATCCAACCTCACTGAGCTCGAGCTGTTTCAGAATTTCAGTGTCTCCGTGTGCAAAACTGATAGAGACGTACCCCAAGAGACTTTCAGCTGGAACTGCAGCAAAAGGCGGCGCTACAAAGTATTAACGCAAGGGGGCCGAATAATATTGCACGCCCCACTTTTCAGTTTTTTATTTGTTAAAAAAGTTTGACACATCCAATAAATTTCATTCTACTCCACGATTGTATCCCACTTGTTGTTGATTCTTCACAAAAAATTTAAATTTTATATCTTTATGTTTGAAGCCTGAAATGTGGCAAAAGGTTGAAAAGTTCAAGGGGGCCGAATACTTCAACAAAGTCCATGCTCAATAATCCAGGTATAAAATCCAACATTTTTCAATCAGATCATCTGGACAGTTTCTTTTTTTTTGTGCTGAACATTTCATCTTCGATCCAGAAGGCTTCATCAGTCAAGGAAACACACAACAAAACTGATTCTTCCCCCAACAGCTTACTCCAAAGTGGAACAAACCAGTTCTGCTTGTGATTAGATGGTCTCTTTGGTATGCCCCTCCTCCAAAGAGACCATCTAATTACAAGCAGAACTGGTTTGTTCCACTTTGGAGTAAGCTGTTGGGGGAAGAATCAGTTTTGTTGTGTGTTTCTTTGACTGATGAAGCCTTCTGGATCGAAGGCGAAACTTTTCAGCACAAAAAAAGAAACTGTCCAGATGATCTGACTGAAAAATGTTGGATGGAAACTAATGCTTTACTTTCATAAGGTTCAAGGTTCTTTATTGTCATTCCCATCACATGTGGTACATGAGGTGGAATGAAATTGTGTACTCAAGGTTCCAGTTACACTCCAAAATAGCAATACTATAAAATATAAAAGAAAAATAAACAATACACAAGGCTCTAAGAAATATGCTAAATGGTAATAATGTAATATAATACGGAGTATTAAACAGCAGCCTGAACATGAGTCTGTTGTGAGCAGATGGGTATGAATACAGCAGCTTATGGGTAAGAAATGTGCTTATAAATGTCTATCATCGGAGAAACCGGCCCTTCACATACTCACAGGAGAAGTTGTAATATTTTATTGTGTAGGATAATTAACCTTTCTCCTACAGGGAACAAAGCCTGTATGAACCTGCCATTTGAAAGTTTTTGTTCCCTTCTACAGAGGAAGCACACCAAGCAGGTCTGGGCCTTCTGATCCACTGCCAGGCAGGCGTGTCGCGGTCCGCCACCATCGTGATCGCCTACCTGATGAAGCACAGCTGGATGACCATGACGGACGCCTACAAGTTTGTCAAGACCAAGCGGCCCATCATCTCCCCAAACCTCAACTTCATGGGCCAGCTGTTGGAGTTCGAGGAGGACCTCAACAATGGAATAACGCCACGAATCCTCACGCCAAAGCTGATCGGTTTGGAAACTGTTGTCTAAATGAACCACTTAACCTTTTTGTCCCCTCTACAACAGAAACTGGCTGCTTTATGAGCCCGTTTGAGGGAAACTGAGTTGGGATAACGTGTTTGATACCCTTGTCCTCATGGACTTCCTTCAAATACCAGTCTCTAGGTCAGCGGTGAAAGGGAAAGCCAAAATCTCCTACAGTTGGGACCTACAGTCGTAGTCCCAGAGAAGACTAGCCAAGCGGAGGAGGTCAAGCTTTCTATTTGTGACCTCAGAGCAGCAAAGGGAGATGAAGAATCGATGGTGGAAATGATCGTTTTCGTGCTTGGGGAAGTTACTTTGAAAATACACTCTTAAAAGTTCACACTGTGGCACACAGTTTATGTTTGCAGACTCAGGCAGGGTTGGCCACAGCTGTGCCTGTCTAAAATAAAATAAAAAAAAAGATAAAGACTTGTTTGGTGTGCTAATCTTGTTCTATTTTTATACAGGGGTTCAAGGGGATGACCATGACGAGCCCTCAGCGGCTTACTGTGCAATAATTTCAGTGTAATGCAACTGATCTTATATGTGTATATATCGGTAATGATGAAAAAACATTTCCAGCTTTTAGCTGAAGAACCATTTTAATGTATTTACTGTTGTTCAGCTCTATATGTTTATGGTGCATACGGTCATGCTGTAATATTTGACGCCGATCTGTGTGAGAATCAGAAATTACGTTTAAGTGCAGCTTATGCAATTTCTTTCCCTCATATTTTGTTGTATTCACTTCAGTGTCTTGGTTCTGCCATTCCTGCATCCACATGTATTTTTAGCAATACACATATTACCAGACAGCCATAAGAGCTCTCTTTATGCATGGCTGCTGGCAGAGGGGAGGGACACTGACAAAAAGGTGAATATTGTAAAACCGGTGATGTTTAATGTAACACGAGCGAGGTTTTTCACTGCCTGCTTCGTCTCCTCTGTTTGTTTTTGCTCCACTTCATCCATTAGCCAGCTCTGTTGCACTGTACTGCGTCCACGTTCACTTACAGCTGGCATTCTTGGCAATGCCCTACTTTCTAAGCAATTATTTACCCAGTTTCAAGGTAGCAGAGTGGAGATTTTGCACTCCACACATTTACGTCCTCTTGTTGCTTACAGTTTAAGTGTGACAGCACTCGAGCAGCGTGACCTTTGTCCGCTTTCTTTCCAGCTCTCGGTCGCTGATCCCTTGTTACAATTAGATGAGCTCTTCTGCCTTTCATAAAGTGGGCAATCGCTGCTGTCACCCGCTGCTTCAGTGCCTCAATCAATGCCTTAAATCGTGTGCAACTGGGCACACGTTTGGCACAGCGTCAGACAAAAACATTGTCGCACCAACGTTCGTTAACTACCGGAGAAGAAAACCCCCCAATAATTTCTTAGAGTTAAGTTTACAAATACTAAAGCTGCTGTTTCTGATTAATATGCACACTCTAGCAAAGTTGCATTTAGAGACGGTATGAAACAAAAGAAGAAAAATGTCATTATGTAACTCTTAAAGAAAATCAAATCATCACAATAAAATTTATATCAACCCAGCATAAAGAGTATTTTATAGGGATGCACAATATTATCAGCATGGTATCGGTCAATATTAGCGATAAGGTTAAATATCGGACACGTCATTCCATCAAAATAACTCTGTGATATAAAAGGTGCTGTTTATATACACACACACACACACACACACACACACACACACACACACACACACACTCACAC